CACTCTGATTTGCTTAATCTTTTGATGCTTTTCAGAGTCACTTTGGGTGATGGAAGTCAGTGGTTGGTCCATAAAGGAAATGATTTTGGAATCAGTTCCCAGACAGTTGTAGTAAATGCCCGACACATGGGTAACAACTGGAAGGTAAGGACACTACTAACACTGAAGACAACAACTTCTTTTGTTCCATAATTATGTTTCAAGCATCTCTTGAAACAATGTGAAGAGTAACAAAGTAAAATGAAACAACTTAAAATTAAAAAACAAGAAATGAGGAACATAAGAAATGCATAAAAGTTAAGCTTTAATGAAAATAAATTTAAAACAGATCTTTAGATAACTGTAATTCTTTCAATGATTATTCATTCATTATTCCTTTCAAACTCCCTCATGCACAGGTCGTTGAGAGAAAAAATTTCTTTGGCACCAAGAAGGTGAATGACTTTGTGAGGGCTTCAGGTGCAGGCTATCAATGGATATTTAACAATTGTCACATTGGAGCTAATAGGATGATGAGGCAATAAGGCAATATCAGAGCTTTTATTCTGTTGTGGATTTTCTTTGTTAAGTTTAATCAGTAATATGGTAATTTACATCATGTGATTTCATGTTTGTCCTTTAAAAATACCCACAATGCATGTGATGTATCACTTTGTCATTAATCTTCATATGTGTGTACTTTTCAATGGACTTACTACACACTTTTATGAAATATCTTATACTGAAGAATAACATTCCTATACAGACAAACACAGATCTGTTAAGTGTGTTTTTTACAACGAGAATCCAAGTTACTCGCAGACAGATGTCAGCTGGGTTTCAAGTAATTTTAATAAATAGCTACTTTTAGTAAACTAGGAAACTGTAACACTATATTTATCTACTAAAACCAATAAACTAAATTAAATATGTTCTTAATTTATGACGACTCAAGATTATTTTGACAACACACCATCTGTCTAGCTAAGCAAACATTCAAGTAACAAGTTCGCTAGATAGCTAGCTGGCTTGCTGAATTAGGCAAAGTGCACATACTCACAGGCTAGCTATCGTGCTAACAGTACACAGATAAAGACAGTGTTTACTTTATGTTGACAGCTTCTTCTGTCATTTTCTACGGATGGGAAAAACACTGCATAACAGTTAACAGCGACTTCAGCTGAGAAATACAGCTGACTGTCCCTGCTGGGCCTGAACCTACTCAATATGGCTATAAGCAGCTGGCCATTTAGCTAGCTAGCTGGGGCAGTGGTGGCTTAATGGTTAAGGATGTGCACCTGTAATTGAAAGATTGTTGGTTCAAATCCCCAAACAGCAAGGTACCACAGAAGTACCCTAAGCAAGGTACTGCTCCCTGGGTGCTGAATTAGCTGCCCCCTGCTATGACACATATGGGTTAAATGCAGAGGACACATTTTGTTGTTGTGCACTGTGTGCTGTGGTATGTCAACAATGACCACTGATCTCCAAATTCTAATTCTAAATTCTAGCTCTCAGAAGTCAGCTTTATCAAGCTAGCCGACATGCTAGCCAGTTACCAAGCAGCTATCCGGCCCAAGGAAGGTAACACGCGCAAGTATAACCCAGAATGTAGAATCTAGAATTATATTCATCCATCCATCCATCCATCCCATCCATCCATTCCAACCACTAATTGTCATGACCTGCTCGTCCGATCCTCCTGTGTGCCACGCCCCCTTGTTACAGCATGTGGAATCCCGGTGTTTTCAGCTGTGTCTAGTCGTTGTTAATTGATTCTGTGTATTTAGTGCTTCTGTGTCCGTCTTACCCCTGTCCGGTCATTGACGTTTGTTTTTGCGTTTCGTCCTGTGTTTGTGGTTTCCCCGAATAAATCCCATTTTCCCCGACTTTACGGAATTTTGTGCTGCTTCCATGGACGCAATCCGTAACACTAACCCTGGTTAGGGTAACAGGAGTCTAGCCCAGGCAGCACAGGGCACAAGGCTGGATGGGCTGCCGGTCCATCACTGGACACTAGACACACAAAGATAGCTGCCTCTAAGTTGAGTGTGATTTTCTGGTTCCAGAGATGAACTGCCTCATATATCAAAAGTATTAATATACGTTTAATATACGTAAAGTGCACCAGTATTGACAGTAAATACAATGAGGCAGAGAAACTGGTTCTGCCGTATCTTAATTTAAACAATAGCAGAGTAAACTAACTATGAGTAAACCCTAAACTAGATGCTGTCAGAATGACAATAATGTATTTCCTTTTTGTACGTCTCGCCCTCCTCCATTCACTTTCTACTCCTCCCACACCCCCAACCTCTACCTCTAGCCCTCCCATACAGTATCTAATTTTTCTTACTGTCATACCATGGTATATAGTTTTTTGACAGTGTTTTCAAAAGCAACTCTATTCTGGTATTTTGAAATCTTGGCAGGGGGCAGGGGTCCGCAAGATAAAATTTGTCAAATGAAAATACCACAGTATACCAAAAATACTATAATACACCCTTCCCTTTGCAATCACTAAGCAGTGTCGCTTCGAATTTTGTGCAATTTGTCTCCAAATTTGTTCAGGTCCAGGTCTTCACTCATACGATGTGTCTGTTCAGTTTGAAAAACATCCATCAAATACTTTTGGAGTAGTCTCCTTGATATCACTACGCAATACAGAGCACAAATTATCCAGTCAGAAATAAAAATCATCAACAGTTTGCTTGAAGTGTGGCCCTTAACAAATTTGGGAAGAGTAACAAAATGAGGAGACACAAGCGAACAGAAGCAGAATCTACAAGCAAAGCCGGAGCTGGGGTCACGGAGCGGAAGGGTTCGGCAGCCAGGTGGTCAGTGCTACAGGCAGGGCGTGAGACAGGAGGAAGGCACACTGGGAAGGTCAGACGGGAGCAGGATCGGGATCAGGGAGGCAGGGGAACTGGGCATGCAGGAAGGTTCAGGCTGGACATGAAACGGTACACTCAGTAAGTTTTCCTTCCCTTTCCGGAACTCCTGCCACAGCACTTTACCACATTAACAAATATTTGTCCAATTGTTTTAACAGACATATTATACAGTGTACACTCAGCTCAGAAAAAGGTACAAGTTTATACATTGCAATACAACAATGCCAACTAGCTGCTCTAACAACAGTAACACTGAACTCAACACTGAACTTAAAACCGTATTGTCTAACTCTCTCAACAGTCCAGCACCTCTAAAATCTACTAGTCTCCTTCACCTCATTATACCCTTTATCTACACCTGAGCTTCCATGAAGTGAAACTGGTCGTCATCTGGAGAGACTTCATAAGAAGACCAAGCTTGCCATCTATGCTGCCTGCAAAGACCATCTGTCCCGTTACAGACGCCATTTTCCACTTCTCCAACTGCTTATTACACCAGCCTCGTCAACACTGCAAATCACTCTCTTTTTTCTATTGTTAAAAAACTGCTACAACCTCAGGATAATACCTACCGTGCCTCAATCAATCTTTGCAACTCCGTTCCTAGCTTTTTTCTGGATAAAAATTTCCACTGCAAATTGACAGCTCCTGGGCTGCTGCTACTTCTTGTCTTCCTTCCAACCCTGATCTCACAGCTTGTCTCCTACCACCCCCACACCCAGCTCTCCGCCTTCACGTCCCATTGATTCCTCACAACTATTTCATATTATTATTGCTCTTTGGATCTCCTCCTTTCTGACTCAGGCCTGCCTACCTGTTTTCAGTTCCCATCTGACCATCATTTTAAATCAGTCGCTATCTCTTGGATTAGCGCCCTCTAGTTACAAGATTGCTGCTGTTACACTCAGTGCTTAAATTGTGCCAGATCCTGCCAGAACAAATTGCGGGACTTCTCTGTTTTTGACTTTCTACATTCCAGCACCTATGAAATTAACCAAAGCCTCCAATGATGTTCTAACATCTGCTGACTCCAGTGCTCTCAGCATCCTCCTCCTCTTTGACCTGAGCACAGCCTTTAACACAGAGTTCCACAGAATCCTCCTCTCAAGACCCAGTGACCTGGGCATTGAGGGAACCACCCTGTACTTCTTTTCATCGTTACCTGCCAGACAGTAAACATTTCTATCTCTGGCTACTTATCTTCCTCTCTGCAGTGACACACGAGGTCCCCCAAGGTTTAATTCTTGGGTTGCTACTCTTCCTTCTATACATCCTCAACTACGGCTGCATTATTTGTAAGTTTAATCTCAATTTCCACAAGAATGCCAAAGATACTCAGATCTGCCTCAGCACTACATATAAAAATAAAAAGTATAAAAATAGTATGAAAGTATAACAAATAACATAATCAAAATTATACACATTTTTTAATGTCACTGTAGGATTGTGAAATAACAGACAATTACATAACAGACCTCAGGGGAATTAAATCAGTGTTTATTGAATATGCCTTTACTAACACCACATGCATTCTGTTTATGCATGTTTCTCTAAGACAGTATCCATGGAATATTAATTGGCCACTGGATGTTTCTCAGAAGCAGTGTTTGGAATGTATTAAACGATCGAAACCATTTATGAATCATCTGTTTCAATTTTCGCTATCTATCCGAAGCCCCATTTTTTCCATCACTATATTCACCAGTAGGGGTCAGTAGTGTATACTGTACTAAATGGTGTTTCCTGTAGAAAACCTCAACACTCCAAACATTCAACCGACCGAAGGACAGATTTTTATGCTAAATGAAAACCGATTCCAAAATTTTGGCAACAATAACCCTATAGCAGCTTCGGACGTTGCCTCGATGAGGGTAACGTGATGCGGGCTTCCGGTGTCACGTGAGGGGTGTACGTACGTCGTGACGAAGAGAAACGTGCGGCGTGACGGCGTTGTGTTTGGGTTGGGGAGGGGGCTGAGGTCTCATACAGCAGAAGAATGGAGAGATGGCTGAGTTTTAAAAATAACAGCCCTCTGTAATGAGTATGTGTCCAGGTAAAGTTTCGCGCTGTGTGACCCCGCGAACGAGGCGCGCGTGTAGCGCGCGTGTTACCTTCCTTGGGCCGGATAGCTGCTTGGTAACCGGCTAGCATGTCAGCTAGCTTGATAAAGCTGACTTCTGAGAGCTAGCTAGCTAGCTAAATGGCCAGCTGCTTATAGCCATATTGAGTAGGTTCGGGCCCAGCAGGGACAGTCAGCTGTATTTCTCAGCTGAAGTCGCTGTTAACTGTTATGCAGTGTTTTGCCCATCCACAGAAAATGACAGAAGAAGCTGTCAACATAAAGTAAACACTGTCCTTAATATCTGTGTACTGTTAGCACGATAGCTAGCCTGTGAGTATGTGCACTTTGCCTAATTCAGCAAGCCAGCTAGCTATCCAGCGAACTTGTTACTTGAATGTTTGCTTAGCTAGACAGATGGTGTGTTGTCAAAATAATCTTGAGTCGTCATAAATTAAGAACATATTTAATTTAGTTTATTGGTTTTAGTAGATAAATATAGTGTTACAGTTTCCTAGTTTACTAAAAGTAGTTATTTATTAAAATTACTTGAAACCCAGCTGACATTTGTCCACGGGTAACTCGGATTCTCGTTGTACTTCCACTAAAAATATTTGATTAAAAGCTACTGTTTGTTACAAGTTGAAGGTAAGTTAAAATTGCATCCTTAAAAATAGACATCTTTGTGCAAGAAATGTACATATTTTCTTTCTTCTTACTTCATCTTCACATAAAACTGTAAATTTTACTCAATAACTAACCACCAGGTAATGCATATCAATGCCTGCTGCTCTGTTTTTGTGTGTGCAGTGTGAAAGAATATCTTGAGATCTGAAAGAAGATGAACAAAAAGCCGCCTGTTCGCCCAGGAATCACATTTGAGGTCGGCGCTAGAGTTGAAGCTCAAGACTACCTACAAAAATGGTAATAATTAATAGTAATTGCTCTGTCACTGTTATTTTTCAGAATTTCTGAAGACATCTGTAATGTCAATGCTGTCACTAGATGTTTGAGGTGCGTCGTTTACAATGCTTGTGGTGCTTAAATTTGCTGTCATGCCAGGTATCCTTCACGGATTGAAAAGATTGACTACGACGAGGGGAAGATGCTTGTTCATTTTGATCGCTGGAGCCATCGATATGACGAGTGGATTTTTTGGGACAGTGAACGGCTGCGCCCGCTCGAGAAGCCCCCACTTCCCAAAGTGGCACAAAAAGACGAGGCAGAAATACCTGTATGTTTTTCTTCCTTCTCCCTATATTCTATCCAATTCACAGCAGCAACTGGAAATGCATTATGAATTTGAACAATAACTGTCTGTCCCCCTGAAAGGTTAAATGATGAAGTCCCTTGGGGAAAATGGGTTTATATTGACTAGAATTCAACTCTGTTTAGTTTTCAGTTTATTCATTTTTTTTTTTTTGTATGGTGAAATAGAAATGCTTTGCATTTGGGTGTAATTGAATTAATGATATTTTAGGTGATGAAGAATGTATAATACCTTAATTAATTGTCTATATATTTATTTCATAAACATTTCATCCAGGAGAGTCTCAGCGAGATTAGACCACCTCGTCTTGGTGAGCTTCCTGGGAGGTCAGAGAACACAGAGGACCAAACAGAATTACACCAAAAACAAGTAATACACTCCATTAAAACATTGGCACTAAGCCACAATCCTCACCAATGTATTGGAAGTCTGCATATCCAGGCACTTAGAAAAGCAGAAGTCAAGATATACGAGTACCAAGGCCATTTGTAACTGGTCCTTTCTTTTGTAAACTTGGCATGCCCCAGATGTGCATCTTATTGCAGTTCCATTTCATCCCCCCCCCCCTTAGGGCTTGAATTTTCTGTTTTAGTTACTTTTGGTGTTTTAAAAAATTGTATTAGATAGATCTCAGTGCATCCAAACATTAAGGAACCATTTTGCGTGGCAGGCTGAAGATTTCCCCGTATATTTTTAAAGGTATTTTTAAGCATGCAGGTTCAGTAAATTACCTGGTCCTGATACACACGACAGCTGTTCATGTTTTTTTACATGTATAGATGACATCTATGGCCACTCAGTGTTTGACCATACAATAAGTCCCTCTAGGTGACATGCCTGACGTCACTTCTGTGGTTAAAAATGTAGCAAAGTAAGTGGTAGGTTTATACAATGAATTCCCCTGTATTATTGTAAAGTCTGTCTGGTCAAGCCCACATACATGCGAAGAGTGAGTCTTCTTTTGGTGTATTTACTTTTATTTTGTGACATATTCCTTGTCATGTTACTGCAGTCCTTTAATTTTTGAATATGTATTTATATGTTTGCTTTTATGTCTTGCACAGGATTTGAGAGATGGTGAGGAGGTTCTGGCCCGCTGGACAGATTGCCGTTACTACCCAGCCAAAATAGAGAGTGTGAACACAGACGGTGAGTAGCCTTCAGTCATTTAAATTAGTATATTCCACAAAAGGTGGGAATTTCGACTGTTGTCTATAGGTACCCTTGTTTGGTTATGAATGGTTTTATTGTTCGTAAAAGGTTCTCTCTTCTGATCATTGACATGCTTGCTGTTTTTTGTATTGTCTGTCAGGTACTTACACAGTGCAATTTTATGATGGAGTTATTCGATGTGTAAAACGACTGCATATAAAATCAATGCCAGAGGACGCTAAAGGCCAGGTAAGTTCACTAGAGCCGCACCAAATATACAGCATTTACAAGTGTGCAAAACATCGTTGCAGTAGGTCGTTTTGGGTGGTCGAAATTACATTTTGTCTTTCACTAAAATGCATTTACTTAAAGGGGATTTTCACCAGAATTGTATCGTATGTTGTTCCTTGTGTAATATACCAAGGTTATGTCAAATACTCTATCTCATTTGTTTGTGGAAGTCACTTCTGGAAATGAGATCAGACATCCTTTATTTACTAGCTCGGCCTCTTAGAGAGAGCCACCTAGCTGAAGACCATCAGTGCAACCTGGATCAAAGCGTGATTAAATGACAGGATGTGTGACAAGTGGTCTGACGCCTGTTCATGCCTTCTTGAGGCCTGTGTAGCAGTTGGGGGGGGGGGGTCTAGCGCCATTTGTACCCTTTGCAGGCTTTAATTAGGTGGCATATCTACTTACCAACAGGTAAGGGCTGGATCCGGAATGACAATTCACAGTTCACTGGCATTCTGCAGCTCAAGCATAGCATATTTCTTACTATACTTCCACAATTAATCAATGCTTTTAATGTTAACAAATGTTTTTAGTAAAAAAATTGCTGTCTTTCTAGTGAGAGACTTAAAAGAGTAGAAATGTATGCTGGTCACATAGATAAACTATAATCTTTTTAAAAGCACTGAGATATCACAGGAAATGGAGATCTGAAAGAATGGGCACCCTTTTCTTTACGGCAATTACCATATATATGCTGCGTTATAAATACTGACAGGCAATGAGAAATTCACACAGAGGGTGTTCCCTTTGACATCAAAAACATACTGAGTGTGGATATGTCTCCTGGTGACTTCTGTTGAAGATGAATATAATGCTATTTCCTTTGCTTACAAAAAAAGCGTGTTGAGAATTTAAATACTCATTTTTGGTGGAATTGCCCTTTAAGTGAGGAGCTTTATGATTTTTTTACGTAATCTCGTGCTTCTCCCTTAGTTGCCCGAATGTCATTCAGGGATAACCCTAACCCAGTAGTTACCCTCATGTTCTTTTGGGTTGCTCTTTGCAGCCGTGTCTCTTTTGTCATGGTGGGTCCCCGTTTCTCCCCAGGACTGGATCGCGTTGGTGAAAGCGGCCTCCGACGCCGTGAAGAGCAAGGGGACCTGCCGACCACGTACGAGTGCCAACAGTAACAGAACCAAAGAGATGCGGTCGGTGCTGAGGTCAGACAGCGAGGCTGAGGAGGCTCCTGAGGACGAGGAGCTCGACCTTGAGAAGCCAGGTGAAGGGCCCTGGTAGCTCGAGGTGGCTTTCCAAAGCATCACTAAGCTCCTCAGCAGGACAACAACTTGCATTCCTGTCTTTCTATAGAGTTCTTACGTGATACTCGTGTTTGTAATGTTGATTAATGTTTGTAATGTTGATTAATGTTTGTAATGTTGATTAATGTTTGTAGTGTGTTTAGAGAGTCTGATCATGGAAGGAGAAGCCTGTCCGTCGCCAAAGGAGCTTGAAATGGTGAAAAAGAGAAAGACCAGGCAGAGGAAACCAGTTAATGCAAGGAAAGGTCACTACAAAAAAGGTGCACTTAAATCTGTTCAAACAATTTATTTGAAATTCCTGCAAAACAATAATACATATATATAATGTAGATATGTGTGTATGTGTTTGTGTGCAATGTGTGTATTGGTGATTTTAGGCATCACAGTATCGCAGTCAACAAGTGAGGAAGTAACAGAAGAGCAGGCAGATGAAGTCAGAGCCTCAGAAGAGCCTCTGCATGTGAGAAACCTCATTACTGCTCATCCTGGGAGTTTCTCAAAAAGCCACAGATTTTCCTTACTTTTCATTGCATTTACTTTCAGGCGTCTTTTGAAGGAACGCAAAGAGCAGTAATGGTGGGCGAGAGTGTGCCGTCCCCTCCTGCCCCAAGAGCTGCCCCCCCCGCCCAGAACACCCCCAAGCCTCAAAACGTGGAGCTGAAGCTGGACTCCAGCGGGAATGAGGGGCTAGGCAGGCTGTCCGCTGATGGGGAGGACGCCCCAGCCGGCAGCCCGGGACTGGGCCCCGCAGAGGAGGCTCATGCTGGTGAGTGTGATGCTGATATTTCTGGTCACCCCCCCAATTATTTATTAAACTTATTGCTGCTTCAAAGAAACTCTTATACAGCATTAAGATCTAGCGCAGTGTTTCCCAATCTAGTCCTCTGGGACCCACAGACCGTCCATGTTTTATCTTTGGAAAGAATTTCTGCCCTGCAGTAGAACTGTATTCTGTTTGAATAGGGTGTAGTGATTGAGCTATGAATGGCTTGTTTTGATGAAGAGGTGTATTAAAGTGCAGGGAGATGGAGACCAGGAGCATGATGCCATTCATTCACCGGTCGCCGGTTCGAGCCCGGCCTCTGCAGAATAGTCACATCTGTGGGCCCTTGAGCGAGGCCCTTAACCCCCAGTTCCATGGGCACCTCTGCCGGTGGCTGCCCTCCACTGCCAAGCTTGCCGTCACCTACGCATGTGTCTCTGTGTGTCATGGAGAGCAAGATGGGTTAGGCAAATAGAGAAATTCCCCAAGGGGATAAATAAAGTGTCTATTATTATTATTATTATTATTATTATTATTATGAACTTTAGTAAAAGTTATTGAAGGGCTGATAGATATATTTTGTCTGAGACTCTCCTAGATGAAATGTTCATGAAATAAATATATAGACACATCTGGCATTTTTATTTATTTTTTATTTTTTGCATAGAGGGGGCTGTTTCCACTATTCCCAGCACCCCACGAACCGCAGAGCATCGCAGGCGCTCCCAGCGGCTAGCCCCCTTCTTGCCCGCCATCACCTTCGACCCAGTTGCCACAAGCCCAAGCCCTCTCGATGGTAAGGGGCTGGGTTACAGAGATGGGGCTCTCAGTGTGGAGCTCTTATCTGACAGCACGCACACGCTGGACAGAGAACGCCTGGCTCACTCAATTCCAGATAACACCAAATGCACTTTCGAAATGCCGAGCTGAAATGTTAAAGCATTTTAAAGGGAACCTCTGCTCAAGCATTAATTTTAAATCAGTGTTTCATAACCTGGTCATGGGGGGCACTCCCAGACAGTCCAAGATTTTGCTTCCTCCCAGCTTCCTGTCAGACAGTCTACATTTTTGCTCCCTATTAGGAAGGGGGGAGCAAAAACGTGGACTGTGTGGGTCCCTGAGGACTGGGTTGGGAAACACTGTTTTAAAGTAAAGTGGTTCTTTGGTTTTCAGCACAGGACACATCCACTGTGGAGAAGAGTGAGTCATCCCCCGACGAGCCCGTGGTGGAATCGCCTGCACCGGCGCCCCCTCCCCCACCACAGCAACCCTCCCTCTCAGTGCCGGACAGGCAGCCTGATGGTGATGCATCAAGTTGTGGTGCAGCTGAAGAAAAGCCTGCTCCACTGGCAGCTGGTAAACCAAGGGACAAACCTAACCCTAAATCCTCAGCCGGCACAATGAACTTGGCACAAGTCTCATGAAATCAAACTGAGCAGATTTTCTAGTATTGTACAGTATATACATTTATACATAGCATATGTTTTTACTACAGATGTACTATTTGTCAGTTTTCTACTGATGAAACTTCATAGTTAGCATACCTGTTTATCGATATATGTGTATATATACACACACTCACACACACATATTTTTTCTCTTTCAGAAATGGCTTTAGCTTTGTGAAGCCTGTATAACCTTTGCTGTGCTGTGTTGTGTTCTTTGGTACAGATGCTGGTTTGAAGGTTCCATCAAGAAATAAACAAAACAAACACACTAGAGAGCCAAGTATGTGTCTGTGGATTAATGTGTTTGCTCGTTAAATGGCAATAAAAATCTGAATAATATTTAAATAGTCCTGTATTGACTAGCAGTATATGTTAATAATTTGGAGTACCAAAAGTACATTTGTTGCTATATTTAATACTTTCTTCCTGCTTTTGTTCTTTTTTGTCTAGTAATAAACCTTAAGAAATCTGAAGGCTGTACGTCCCCTAAAGAGCTGCTCATTGACTTGGACCACAACAAGTTCAAATGCAAGATTCCAGAATGTGGCAAGGCCTTCCGGAAAGCCAAGCTGCTGGATTACCATCTCAAATATTACCACAACACAGACAAGGAGGCGGAGCTGGAGGCGGGCTCACCGCCAGGGCCAGGCCGGAGCAGAACCGCCTCTACGTCCCTGCCCGCCACCAGCCCATTCGAGCCTCTCGTCTGCAAGAGGCATCGGACCATCTCCAGCTCCTCTTGTAGGTGGATGGTCCATCTCCAAGTGTCTTTTAGTTTGGTTCATATTAAATGGTAATTTTTGGACATGTGGATATACTGATTAAAAAAAAACAAAGCATGTACATGCGACAGAATTGGTCATTCTTGGAGCTGAAATCTGTTTGGTAACCTAGTGCCCCTTTCTTCATGTTTGTGCATATTATGAGATGCCATCTTGTGCATTCCCTGTTACACTGCAAGATGCTGTAATCCATTGTTTTGTCCCTCCAGCCCTGTCCCCTCAAGGTTGTGCCTTAGAGTTCGAGCCTTTAGATGGATATCCGAAACCACCAAAATTCAGCAAGAATTTAAATTCAGTACTCTCGCTCAGTACGGGCATGCCGGACATCTTGCTGGACTTTCCAAGGAAAGGCAAGCACTTGGACTGTTTGCACGGTTATGACCCCAAGAAGGTCATCGAGAAAGACAAGACCCTACGCCCAGGTTTGTGACACGTCTGTGCCAAAGCCAGTTTCAGGCATACCTAAAGGCATTCGCTAGTTTAATGCACATTCTCATTATAAACAAGTAAAAGCGCTTATTCCACACATTGCTTTTATTATTTTCTCATCTGCAGGGCTAATAAAGACTGAGAAGAAAAACAAGTTTGAAGAGAAGACCCAGCCAATAGGTGAGATTATAGATGGAGTTTGACTTTACAGTCTGTATAATGCCTGACACAGACTGCCCAGCTGTTAGTGTCTGCTGGCTGTCGCTGCCTGCCCATAAACAGGCTTCTTCCTCACGGCTATTAACAGGGAAAAAGAAAGAGAAGGATAAGGATCGCAAAGACAAAAAAGACAAGTTTCCCTTTAGAGTGAAACAGAAGAAGAAGAAAAAGAAGAAAAAGAAATCCAAGCAGCAGCACAGTAAGCGGGAGCCCGTCGGTCTGTCTGCCCCGCCCCCCTCCGTCACCCGTCCATGTTGGGGGAACCCTGTCATTTATACCCCCGAAATAGCACCCGCTCAGTCCCCCGTCTGATCCCCAATCCAGGTTACGTGGACTTTGAGGACCTGGCCTTCGTGCGGAGGTGCTCCTCTCCCCTGAAGCACTGCTCCAGCTCCTTCAGCCTGCCCGCCGGCCCCACGTCCAGGCTCCCCAAAGCCATCCTGTCGGTGGACCTCACAGGCGAGGGTGAGAGGTCACCCATGCGCTCTTAAAGAAGCCTTTTAGAATAGAACAGATGAACAGATATTGCAGCAGAACAATCAGAAAGATGAGCCCACCTGGGTGAGATTCATTCTCAGCAGACGTGGTTTTGCTAGTATTTGGCATTTTGGAGGGAAATCAGATATCATTACTTTGACAAGCTGGTCCTTTCCTGGCAATACAGGAAGGCTGGATTTCATGCTGGCTGGAATACTTGGGTGTAGGGTGACAGTTTCAGGCTGTCCTTCCCCCAGACCTGTCCGACATGGACTCGCTGGAGGACTCCACCACTGAGAGCGCCCTCCTGAGCGGGGACGAGTACCGGGCCGAGGACAGTGCGGACCTCGATTCCCTCGCCATGGAGCCCTTCCAGGAGGAGGAGGACTACCCCAGCGACATCGTGCGCTGCGTGTGCGAGATGGACGAGGAGAACGGCTTCATGATTCAGGTATGAGACTTTTATGGTAGCGCAGGTGACGCCGCCGTGCTGTTGGAGCTCACCCTCAACCAGGCTCGCTTTGAATATGTAACAATAAAAGCAGAAATGTGGTTATTGCAGGCAAACTAAAGCATGAGAACTGACTAACTTAGTAAAAATTGCTCTCAGCCGCTTTGTGAATCAGTTAGGAGAAAACTCTTAGTTATAAACTTTTAGTGCGATTTAAGAGTGCTCTTAGTGGTAAGATAGAATGCTTTGTGAATACAGGCCCAGGTGCCGTAGTTTTGGTACTTCTCAAAATACCAAAAGTATGGTGCTTGGTACTGTGGAAAAGCTTCCTTAGTCTTTGTCTGTGTGTGTGTGTGTGTGTGTGTGTGTCTGTGTGTTCTCCCGTCTGTCTGACTTTGTGTGTGTCTGTGTAGCGTCTGTATGTCTGTGTCTTTGTGTGTGCCTGTGTATTTGTGTGTGTCTGTCTGTCTTTGTGTCTGTGTGTGTATTTGCGTTTGTCTGTATGTCCGTCCGTCCGTCCGTCTGTCTTCGTGTGTGTCCGTCTGTCTGTCTGTCTGTCTTCGTGTGTGTCCGTCCGTCTGTCTGTCTGTCTGTCTTCGTGTGTGTCCGTCCGTCTGTCTGTCTG